AATTAGTAGTAGGATATGTTACGCTAGTTAACGTACTTTAATATAATATACGTATATTAGGGGTAAAGTAAGTATACGTATATGATACTCAACTTATTTTTTTTATTATTAATATATTGAATAGGATAATATTACAGCGTTACATATTTCTGCTCATTATGGTCACGTTGATGCTGCACGTTATCTCCTTGACAGCAGTGCCGACGCAAATGCTAAATCTCTGGTAATTAATTCAAAAATACAATTTGTCCATCGCATTTATAGAAAAGATATTGTGTACCTTGCCCTGTGCCTAATACAAAATTCAATATGAAGACATAATTTGTGTTTGTTTATTATAGAATGGTTTTACTCCATTACATGTTGCTTGCAAGAAAAATCGATATGAAGTTGTAGAACTATTATTAGATCGAGGTTCATCAATACAATCTCAAACTCAGGTATACCCTTATTAAATTGATACGTAGATCAATTTTACTAGACAAAGTATTTTTTTTTTTTAATTTATAAATATTTAAATGGTTTGCTTTTATAATTAAATTTTTATCATAGGCTGGTTTAAGCCCATTACATGTTGCAACTTTTTTCAGCAATTATGATATAGTTGAATTATTAGTTCGTAAAGGAGCATCAATTGATACTGTTGACAGGGTGAGAAATAATGAATGAAATTCGTCATTTTTTGAATTGAGATAAGTTTATTATCGTACTTTTTAACATGTTAAACTGACCAATTATTGTTATATATGTATTTAACAATATTAGAAAGGTGAAACGGCATTGCATGTTGCCGGACGTATTCGCCACGAAGATATTGCTCAGTATCTACTCAAGATGGGGGCAAATGCCGACGCAAAGGCTCGGGTAAGATTTTTACAGTCGGTTAAAATATACACCGTATCTACAATTCGTAAACAATAATTGTATTACTAATTAAAATCGAATATGTTGATTACATTTCCGATTGAAACACCTTCTTTTTTTTTTAATTAATGACAATAATAACCAATTAAACTAACTTCTTATTCGTTTATTTATCATTTAGCAAGGAATTACACCCTTGCATATTATCAGCTATTTAGGTCATGGTGAAATGGTTCAAACCTTGATCGATTTTGGAGCGCAAGCAGATGCAATGACAAAGGTATAAGAATTTTTTTTTGATAGAATTTTCCGTAATTGTAAAAAGATACAGTCCTTTGTTATACAAACTTGTTAGTGTATCAAAATAGGATACGATTTTATTTCTTATATTTTTTATATTATTAAATTTTAAATAGTCATGCCAAACACCACTTCAAATTGCCTGTAAGGAAGGCCATATTCATGTCGTAGATGTTCTACTCCAAAATGGTGCATCACTTAGCTTAACGACAAAGGTTTGCAATTACCTATAAACACACACATAATAAATATTTATTAAAGTAAGAATACAATAATCTTGATTGTATCTGCTACGTAATATAATAGGTTAATCTTCTTTATCAATGAAATGATTATATTTAGGTTGGTTATACGCCATTACACACAGCTACGAAACATGGTAGAACAAAAATTGTATCTCTGCTGTTGAAAAAATTTGCTTCACCAGATGCCGAAGGAAAAGTACGATAAATACATTATGTCTTTATACACCATTTTATATCTATATTAATTATAATTTCTTGGATATTCTTTTCTAAATTTTAAACAGTCAAAGTAGTTTTGGTCATAGTTTACTAGAGTGGTGTATAATTTATCTTAAAAATTTTATCTTTTAGAACGGGATCACTCCTCTACATGTCGCTGCACATTATGATCGTGTCGAGATAGCGTTGTTGCTTTTAGGACATGGCGCAAGCCCTTATCTCAGAGTGAAAGTAATCAAATGATTGAAAATATTAATATATAAAATTTTATTCTTATATATTACCAGTACTTATAGCATTTGAATATCTTGTCTTATAATTAGAATGGATTTACACCTTTGCATATTGCTTGTAAACGAGGACACTTGAAGATTGTTAAGATACTCTTAGAACATAAGGCATTACCGAATGAACAAACAAGGGTAAAAATATTAATACCATAAAATACTAAAATATTACGATAGAGGATGCTCTCTATACAATTGATATTTTCTTTTCTATGATTTTATTCAAAATTTTATAACGATTACAGAAAGTAATACAAATCTTAATTACATCTTGATTTAGAATGGAATTGCCCCTATCCATTTAGCAGCCCAATATGGCTACGATAATATAGTTAAAGTATTGATTGAATACGATGCAGAGACTGGCATACCAGCTAAGAATGGCATGACTCCACTTCATCTTGCAGCACAAGAAGACTTTGTCAATATGGCAGCTAGATTACTCGATTATGGAGCACCAATCAATGCAGTAACATTAGCAGGATATACTTCACTACATGTTGCATGTTACTACGGTAATATTGCCACTGCAATATTATTAATCTGCCGTGGTGCTGGCATTAATGATCAAACTAAAGACGGTCTAACACCGCTTCATATGGCAGCTCAGCAAGGACACGCAAATATCGTGGATGCTTTAGCACGAGAATATAGTGCAAATTGTCAATTACGAACAGCTAGTAATTTGACGGCCTTACAACTTGCATACTTTGCTAACCAGGAAGAATGTATTAGGATATTACAACAATATACAGAGGAAGAATATATGAGCGATGAACAAATGGCACAAATGCGTAGTGCTGCTGTTATGGAAATGAATTTAAGACCGGAAGTGTTGAAGGTAGATGATGAAGATAATGCTTCTGACAATGTATCCGTTTATTATCCAGAAGAAGATAATGATTGGCGTGATTTACATCGAACGAATCTGGAAAGATACTACACTAGCTTGAGTGAACGCTATGTATCCATGAGACAGAGACGTGACAAAAATGAAATAATGCATGCTAGAGAATTTGTTCGTGCTGATGGTAGTATAATGTATATTACGGAAACGACAATCAAACCGAGTCATGGCGATTATCGTACCGTCCGCTTAGAGGATGGTACCGTTCTTTATGTCATTGAAACTTTATACCTGCCCATGGATTTTGTTAGTGGTGATACACGAGAAGTCAAAAATGCTGATGGTAGCATAACTCTAGTAACGGAGATGAGTCAGCCACCGGAATCTGGTGAATATAAGGTATTAACAAGAGCTGATGGTACCGTTGTTTATATTGTTGAAACAACTTATATGCCTCCCGATGATGATGGCTATGAAACAGTTTATACCCGTGAAGTTCTTAATGCTGACGGTAGTGTTACTTATATTACCGAATCGACTGCACCGCCACCAGAAGGTGAATATAAAACTGAAACTAGACCTGATGGTAGTGTAGTTTATATTACCGAGGTAACTTACTTACCTGAAGATCAAGTAGCTGGTGAAGCTGTAACTCGCGAAGTACGCCATAGTGATGGTAGTTTAACACTCATTACCGAAACAACATTTAAACCACCTGAAGGTAACTATCGTAAATCAAAACGACCAGATGGCACAATTATTTATATTATTGAAGTCAATTATGTACCGGTTAATGATCTTGGTGAAGAAGTTGTGCGTGAAGTTCAATTACCCAGTGGTCAGAATATGCTATATTCAGAAACCTATTATCAACCTCAAGGTCCTCATGAAACCATTCAGTTAGAGGATGGTTCTGTAATTTACCGCCAACAACTTGATGAACGTCTTCCAGAACCGCGAATAATAGCAGTAACTCGCGATGATAACAGTGTATACTATATTCGTGAAACTACATATATCCCTAGTGATGATAAGTATCGTGCTATGAGACGAGATGATGGAGTTATTGTCTTCTTGGATGAGAATCTTCCACCATCAAATCAGGACCCAGCATCGAAAGGAATGGCACCTGTTAGACGTGCGGATGGTTCAGTAGTTTATATATCGAAGTTTACGTATCTACCACCGTCAGGTCCATTTAAAGCTATGAAACGCTCAGATGGTACAGTTGAATATTACGGGGAACAATCATACATGCCTGCACCAGTCAAGAAGGTTACTAGGGCTGACGGTACGGTCGCATATATTACTGAAAGTACGTATATGCCTGCTGTTGGTAAATTCCGTGCAATGAGACGAGAAGATGGTACAATTGTGTATATAACTGAGCAACAATATCGTCCTCAGTCAGCAGCTGAAGATCGTATTACTGAAGTAAAAAGAGAAGATGGAACTACGGTCTACATTACAGAAACGACCAAAATGCCTACCTCAGGTCCGTATAAAATGATGAAAAGAGCTGATGGCACCATAGTGTATATCATTGAATCTACATCTATGCCGTCAAGTCGTCCTACTACAAATACAATACAACCTTCGACTAGTAAACCTGTCATGGAAAGCAGGTTAGGAGCAATAGCTGAAGAACCTCCCGAGGATCCATCTGGTACTAAGATTACTAAGAAGCCAAGTTTCGGGAAACGTCTAAAGAAAACTTTCTCCTTTAGAAAGAAAGGTAGAAAGGATCAATCGCCACCTCGGGTACCACCTCGACCTAGTGATGACGCATCTCCTCCTCCTATACCACCACCACCTGTTGATGTTATAAGTGAAGTGGAATTACCGGAAGAGCAGGATGCACCACCTATTCCTCCGCCTCCTCCTCCTGAAGAAGATGAAATTGTTATGGATATGGCTGCTTTAAGACGAGTACCACCACCTGAGGAAAATTATACTAATGAAACTCCTGAATCTCCTGAAAAGCAAGATTTCTCGGCTCGTCGTTCGATGTTTGAAAATAAGATACGAGATTCGATCGCAGGACCAGGTGAAACCGGTCGAGCTTTTGTTGTCCCTACTCCGGAAAATAGTAAAATGTGGCGACGTCAAGATACACCTGCACTCAAACCTGCTAGTCGCGTTACAACTTATAATACCGTTACTACAAATGTTGTTCATGATTATCGATTGATCGATGATGAAGACCAAGATATGGAAGAAGCAGCTGCTAGAGCGGCAATGCTAGCTGCGGAAAAAGCGAAAGCGGAAGCTTCACAGAAAACTGCTTCACATAAAAGTGTATCTAATTTACCACCACCTGAAGGTATTGACGTGGAATTTGATGAAGTTAGTAATCCTCACCAAGGTACGGTTGTTGGTCCTGAAGGGGGTACATTAATTAGCTCACGTTTTGGCATAAGAATTATAATACCACCAAACTCAGTTCAGTCGCCGGTTAAAATTGAATGCAGATTATTAGAGAAAAAGGGTAATAGTGGACGAACTATACAACCCAATTTAAAAGACGCTGAAGCTTTGGCAAATCGTGTGTTAGAAATTAGTCCAGCAGGTACATACTTTTCGAAGCCTGTCAGCATCGAAATACCTTATTATATCGCTATTGAAGGCTATAGTCGAGAAATTTGTGTTATGAGTAGTGAAAGAGGTGACGGCTGGAGTGATTGTAAGTCCTGTAGAGTGTTGCCAATTGATGAAAACAGCGACGACGATGAATACTACGTTGCCATCAGTACACAAAGTCTCCCCTCTTACTTTGCCGTAATTAGTCGCATTTGTCGTGAAGATGCTGACATAAGTAACGATGGCGGTGCAATTTTCTCTTCATTTGTTCCCTTCGTAAGAGTTGATGTTCCTCCAGGATGCTTTCATAAAGAAAGTGATTCTTATATCCAGGTCTTACCGGTTTATCCTGATGATTTATCAGTAACTAGTGTGTCTGGTGCAACACCAGTGGTGACATTGGAGCCTCGAATTCGATTGAAGCAAGCTGTAACGATAACTCTTCCCGATCTGGTATTACATCCTAAGGCAGATCCTAATAGTCCTATCCGCTTACTGAGAAGCATAACCCCTTACGATAAGCAACCACAATGGGAAGATATCACTGACTCAACAGAAATTATTGATGAAGGAAATGGCATACTTTCTTTTAGTACCAATCAATTTGCACGGTAGGTATAATTAATACGAATTAGTTGGTAAAAAATTTGAAATTTATTTTGGCATGTATATTATTGTATATTTTATATTTGTAAATGTTCTATTGTAACAAAATTTAACGATTAGTATATGCTAAATTTCAATAATAATAACTCTTGTGAAATTAATCTTCCTGATTAAAACAGATATTGGATTATCCAAGTCCGACAAGCTTTGACTGCGAAAGATAAAGGATCAACATTATACCGCAAGATAACTGCCGTCCCTTACTTAGCTAATGTAGCAATTTTTGCTAACTCCTATCAGCCTGGAGAAGCTAGCATGCGTATTGCCTGCATGACCAATGATGGTCTATATGATAGTTTAGATTTTCACGAAGGGATGGTCCAAATTGCAAGTAAGGAAAATGTTCCAATCATTGATGGAAGCCGAGTTAGTATACAATGTAGTGGAAATTTATTACCTATCAAAGCCAAATCTGCTTCATGGCAAATGGATTTCAAACCTTATCGCGAGAACGTATTAGATGGTAGCGTTCGTGTAACTACACCCAGCGATCCACCAAAAGGGTTAATGTCCTTTGTGCGTGATGCTAAAGTTGACGGGAGAACAGTATCGCAGATGTTGTGCACTTTGGGTGTTGTATTGCCACAAGGAGAAGGACCCGAAGGTAATGTAACTATCAGCCATGAATATCGAGTCTTTGCTGAAACTATGGATGTCGCTATTAAAGAAATTACTGAGCATGGTATCGGTAATAGCGAGTCAAACGATGATCAGAGTAATATTGCTAGCGTGGCTGCAGTGATCGGTAACGATTGGCCTCAGTTAGCTAGGGAATTGCAGTTAAAAGAATCAGACATAAAAGCAATTGATGCAGAATGCTCACCAAATAGTACAGCTGCTGCACAGAATATTTTACATACATGGGCTGTTAGATCAGGTAGAGATGCCACTGGTGTTAAACTAGAATCTGCACTGGTTGGAATTGGAAGAGAAGACGTCATCGAGCATTTTGAATCAGAAGTAGCAAGTGGAGTTACATACGAAAAGACTCAATTACCTGGCGGTCAAATTGTTATTAAGAAGAAAATCTCGCGAAGATTACCTCTGGAAGAAATTGAAAAACTGAAAAGAAGTAAAGATACTGTAGTAACGGCTGAAGGTCACATCGTACAAACAAAGCAAACTGTCATCACAGGCAGCAGTAGTGATAGAGATCAAATGTTAGCCAAGTTACGGCAACAAATGGATCTGGATGAGCAAGAATTACGAAATAGTGCAGCGGGCGAAATTTTATCTGAAGAAATTGAATTTCAGCATGAGGACGTAGACATAGATTTGGTAGATGAAATTAGAACTGACGTTGAACGAAGAAAATACGACGGTTATGCTCGCCAACAGTCAGCTAAAAGTGGCTACGGCGGAAATTAGAAATTTAGCCTCAATAACATGATCTATTTGTCATTACACAGCATAACTGGTAATATGTTATTAGTTAACACAGTATTTTAATGTATGACGGTTAACGAAATTTAAAGTAGTAGTTTATGTAGTGAATACATAATGATAATTGTTCTAGATTTTGGTTTCTAAGACTTAGATTTATTTTAATCTTCATGTTTTTTTATATTAATACTGATGATGTTGCTAATGTTGCGATATATCTATAAGACCTTGATTACTATTTGTCTAAGAATCGTAATACCAACAGTACATGATAGAGTTAAGAGGCCATCAGTATAGGAGAGATATTTAACTGGTATAGATACCTTCGCCATTTCTTCTGCTAATGCCATAAAAAGGCAATATTTTTTAGTGTATGTGTTGTTTAGGAATGATATTCTCAACCTACTTAAATAAGCAAGTACGTAATCACATTAAATTTTTTCCCAAGGGATATTAAATATTAAATATTCATCTAATACTTTATTGGTACAGTGATAGACAGCATCAGCTTTATATAGTTATTTTGAAGAGGTATCATCACAATTTTTCTTAATGATGTCTATCTATTTAGAGATGTGTTGTTTCTAATATTATACTAACTTGAATTTTTTTATCTTATAATTATAATTGCTCCTATTATGGCTATTTTAACACTCTTGTTTGTAATGTTGTGTTTGTTTGTAATTGAACGGATCTGATCATGTTGGTAAAAACGTACTATATTATTAACTCAGCGTTCGTTTCAAGTCATAATGTTAAAAATTAGTCGCAATTTTCATCGGAAAACTATTACAGTACTTGTAATCGAACGAATAATAAAATTAACATGAGTTTTATCGCCAGCTGATAGAATAACGCTCATTTTACTCATTACTATTTTGAAACATGTAACACATTAATATTATTGCGGTCATTTTATAAAAGTATTTCACGTTTTATTTAGATAAGCCGAAATTCTATTCTGAAAGAAATAGCTACAATAAATATGTGGCACCTTCAGTTATTTCAGCAATTAATATTTTATAATCCTTAAAGCAGTAAAGTAGAATTAACTCTAGTTGATATTGTATAGACTACAGGATTTGAACAGAGTGTACAAATTAGTTTGCTCTTTCTCTACAATATTAAAACATATCAGTCAGCGTATCTGTCATGCGCGTAATATAATGTATAATTGTGCAACTTAGTTACTTGGAAAGTAAAGAATACTGGCTTTAAAGATTGGTTCTTAAGAAGGATCTTTAAGCTGGACCGTTGTAGCATCGCTACATTTAAGTATTGCTTACATTAATAAACAGAAACTAGCTTCAAGTTTTGAGTACTCCCGAAATTAAGTTTATAAATAGATTCGATGAATTTGAAGTTTTTGCAAAAATTGTGCGTTCTGAACACAAATTGAAAGGATGGCAGAGATTCTATTTATTATTCCATGGCTGAAATTTGTGATTAATTGAATTATTTTAACATAAATCCAAAACTACCTGCAGCTGTAAACTTTCATTTTAATTTATGTAGCTAATACTTTTGTTCGTATAACGGTAAGCTAAATTTGTAGGGCTGAAGAGGCATTTATATGCTTTTATCAATGTTTTTAATGCTTTCATTTCTAAGCGAGTATACTATATTTTTCATCGAATAATTATAAATCTTTTGAACCAAATGAATTACAGATAGTAAATAATTACAGCTCGACTATGTGGAAATTATGTGATAGGAAATTCCGTGAACAAGTGGCTACAAATTTGATCTCAGTAAGAACGACTATTTGTTTAGTGATGAATGAAATCTCTTGTCAGAAGTTTATAAAAGTTTAAACTTGCTTCTGTTAATAGAGACTTGTTACGCCTAATCGTATTCTGTTGAGAACAAGAATCAGTAATTAATTCTTCTTGTTGATATGACCAATATTTCCGAACTATATTTAAACTTTATGTCCGTGTTACACAAATATTACGTCACATAGTTGTTCTTTACTAATTTCTTATTAGTAACTTATATCGTACAGAGTTATAATTTCGATTAATTAATTACTTAGTAAATAATTGATGAGTTAGCAGAATGCAGATACTAAAGCATACTTACTTAGAAATAGAAGTGACTCACGTTGCAAGAACTGGAAATGAACAATTAGGCTCAAAGCCAACGAAATAGTTTTATATAGATTTATTGGTGTCTTATTTTTAGATAAAAGGAATGCATTTGGATGACAATAGCCTAATTTAAATATAACTCTAAACTGTATTTGTATTTCCTGGAAAGTGTAACTTACTGAAAGGCCTGTAAAGTGGTATGTTTATTCTAATTATAATTACAGACATTAATTAAATTTATTAATTAAATTTATACATTCTTTCAAGAAAAAAATTTCTCTTAAGGACTTTTTCAAATAAGTTCGAGGACAAGTAAAATTGTAATTAGGTCTTCTGTATTATTAATATAATTATCAATCGAAAACTAATTTAATTGTATTTTTATTTAAAAAATGTTACTTTATTCCGTTAAATATAACATTCTACTCGTACTTACTGGTAATCTAAAGTTATTACAGCGTCATAAAACGTTGATTATAGCCCTTTATGAAATATACCAAGTTACTATGTAAGATACATTTAATCTAAATAGCATCAATACAGTATAAATTTGTTATATTGATACTAGAAATAAAATTTGAATTAAACACTTCGATATTTAGGACAAGTTTAATAAATGAGAACCGAATAATAAAAGTGTTGGGCATGGCTGAAGATGTTAGTTACCTGATGATCGAATAGTATTGGGCTCCACAATTTTCGAACAGATGCTGACCAAACAACTGAGCAAACATCGTTCCTGATCATTATGTATTTAACAAAACATCTTACTGAAAGTACTGATTGTATGCTATCGGTTTATATAATATCGTCATTTACAGTAACAAGATTTATATTTGCTCCATATTGTTATGTCAAGGAAGATAATACAGACGGCAACACATCAAAACTTTGTTATCAACTAGTAGACAGAACAACGATAAGTTCTATTCTTAATTATTCATAACGACCAAATTACTACTAAGTATCAAATATAAATAATATATGAAGTACAGTATCATACAGTTCTATATCTTTCAAATATTACATCATTGTTGATTAGTTGGATGAATAATGGAATAATGGAGGCTGCCGTGTAGTAAATATAATGACGATAGTAATATATAATATAAATCTTAAAGTCAGTTTTCTTGTTTGCGTCGGAAATAGAACAAGAATCGAGCAGACTTACAATATTGAACGTCCATTAACTCGCGGATAATTATAAAAAATTTGATCACCTCTTGATACATATGCAGCAATATTTATAATTTGTATATGCAGTTCGAATTTCTCTAGCTTGAATGATATCAGGGATAAATTTGGGGACTGATTATTGCGTGTCAGTACGCATTCATAATATAAAAATTAATTAAAGACACCGTTTTACAGCACAAGGACTCCAAAAACTGTTTTAAGACTCCTATCATGAAATTAATGGGCTACTGCTGATCTTTAGCAAATAGCAATTATAAATGCAATCTATAACTAAATTTTTCAATTGATAGATAATCGAATCATCATAACGTTACTTCGAATAAAGGACAAGTATACTTTCCTGTCAATCTTTAATTAATTATCTAAACGGGTTTTAATTGCATAACAATATCACATGATACCTTTAAAGAGGAAAGTAAGAAAGTATGAGTTAAATAAATATAATTTCAAAATTTCGGATACTAATATCTATAATACATTGGTCAACTTCTTCTATTTGTATTCCTAACGGAAGAAAACTCAAATCCATAGATTTAGTAGCTACTCTTTCACTTGATAGAAGCATTACATTAACGAAGTGATCGTACATCAATATACTAATAGAATTAATATATCTCACGAAATATTCAGGTAAGCTTTAGAATAACATTTAAAGGACAGCTAAGTATTTACAGCAAATGTAATAATTAAAATATATCTTATTTTAATGAAAGCCTGTACAAAATATCCCGATTTTGGTCAATTAAAAGCAGAAGAGGGATAGAATTTTCTGTTCAATTATTATAAAAAATTGATTTGAAAAAATTTCGTATATCGCCTAGTAATAGTTATCGACAAAAAATAATACCAAAAAATTATTAGTGCTTAAAAATTTCAATTACATAAGAATTATATATGGAATACTTTAGTTCAATCGATTAACAGCCGAAAAGAAGTAGAATATTTTTGCATAGTTACTGTATTATAAAATTATTACAACGAGTGTTATGGATTAGTAACCCTATAGACAAGGGGCAAAATGAACAAAGTCCATCTAGATTTTGAGGGTTTTGATTACTAGAATTTACCTGTATATCTACAATACTGATAACAATCGTGAATATCATACGATAGTTGCCACGAGAGAAAATATCAAATTTCAAGCAAATTGAATATACTATATTAGCCCAATTTTCTATCAATTTGAATCAGTCGTAAACTATAAAATAATTGCTGACTTACGAAATTATATCAACACCGACCAACTTTTCGGTGATGATAGTCATTATGAAAACATAATTAGAAATTCTATGGATATAGATAAAATTTCATAGTCGAGGAAAAATTAAACAATCTAAATACCGTGAGTTATAATAATTTTTAAAGAGGAGAATTTTATTTAACATTAGAATTGCGAAAACCTTTAATTTATAATTGGCGAAGGTATGAATCAAAGGATTATTGACAATCTTGGTTTTTGAAGCATCAAATATCCTACGTCAAGAGCTAGCGTACTAATTCAACGTTGTTAATTATCCTATATGTACACAAAATGCAGAAGTATACGAAGGATTAACTCTCGTACCATATTAGTACTATGCGAGTACAATTTTAACACATGTATCTACATGTCGATTTTTTATATCTAATCGTATGTAATAGTCATGCAGAAAATGATACTACAAAATTGGACTAAATGGATAAACTATGACTGTAATT